CACTCGTGCTGGAGGGTGTTCAGACAGAACCTCTGCCAACAGACCACGCTGCCATTAGTTCTATTTATAGGCTTTTCTGAGATGTAGCCGAGAGCCCAAGTAACCAGCCTTTTATAGTCAAAGTGCATGCAATTAGAATCAGCTCCCAAAACAGAGTCCAAGAACAGCCTTGAACACCAGGCTGGAACATTCCTCCAGATTTTAAGCTGTTCACAGTATTACATTCTAATTTCCATAAAAGAGGTTGTACAGCATTGTTAAGAGCAATGGGGCTGGAGCAACACCCTCTCTCCCCTGGGTTCCTTCATGAGGAGCAAATTTCCAAAATTACCCTGGGGAAGTTACTTATTCTGCATCTGTTTCCTTGCCTGGAAACCGAGGATATCTTCTCTTTACAGTGTTTGTGATGAAGATAAAATGCTTAAGCCTGGCCTTACTTATGAGCTAATAGTTTGGAATTATAGTGGCCTTGCAAATGATTTTCAAAGAAATCAGGAAGACATTAATTAGCCCACTTATAATTACACTGCTTCCTTCCAAGCCAGACCAACTGCAACTCTCACAACTCCTCCATAACTCTAGGCTGGAAGCCCATACAGAGTGTAACCAATCAATTCTGACTCTAATCCCAAATGCAAATGTTCAGCCATTTTGTTATAAGAACAAAAATAAATCTGGAAGAAATTGCATTTTTTGTTAAGATCAACTGCATGGGAAGACCTTAGACCATGACATACAACTGCGGGGCTGGCTTCATGTTCAACTTGGGCACGAATTGGGTAAGAGCCACTAAATTCGAGGTTAGCCTGGGTAACTTAGCAAGAACCTACATCAAAAAAATGAGTAGATGTAGCTCAGGGGTAAGGCACTCCTGGGTTCAACAAAAAACAGTCTGGGGAGTAAAAAAATTTTCATTTTCTACAAATCTATAACATTCAAATTTCTTTGGACTCATCACAGAGAAAGAAGGGCTATTATGTCTGCTGGCTGTCCTAAATTTATTACTGCTAAAAATTGGTGTCCTGACAGGATTGTGATCACTCATATGTCCACAACTTCACACAATCCAAGAGTAACACTTTTACAGTGAAAGAAAGTTCAACAAAATATATGGATCACAGCCTATGACACCATGCTCAGCAATTTGGGAGATGCAGAAATGTGAAGTATTTCAGACAGCATATAACCTCATACTCTAATAACAGTAAAAGAAAAAACTTACGGCTATAAAATCTGGGGTCCTAAAGCATCTATTTTAAAGTCAGGCTAAACCTTATGGGATATTTGACACTGTAGTGACTGTTCATGGCTTTACTGTCTGACTGAGGCATGGTCTCATACTAATGAGTTTCAGTGTGAAATTCTATGTAACCCTTTGACCAGGAAATTTATGCATTTCCTTTTGAATGTCACAGCCACGTTCCTTTCTCAGCCCACTAACCAGAAATAAAGGCTTAGCTGGCTCTGATAAATTTAAGTTTATATGGCAATATAAATAAATGACACCTGAAGTTAAACAAAAAAGTGCCACATAAGGTCATATGGTTTAATTAGAATAAGCAAAACACAAACCCAAAGTCAATATACATCTGATCTATTCCCAGCACTACTAACCTAATCAAGTAGCTGCTGCTCCAGGTAAGTCAATCTTCAGGCCCTCAGTGAAGGGGACGCTGAACTAGACTAGAGCACCCTCATGGGCAGGTGTAGCAGGTACTTCTGCCAGCCACTGCAGATTTTTAACAGTGTGATGGAGCTACAGGATTCCAATTATGTTTGTCATGTAAGAGGAAAACTATCTAGGATTAGATAATTCCTTAGGTCCCTTCCACCATTCTGATTTCGTAACTGAGAGCCTTATAAATCAGCTTTTTCACCTGCTGCTGCTTTTATTTAGCATTAAACATCAGTAATGTTTCAGATGTACATTAGTATCTGAACACCAGAAGCCACATTTTCTCAATGCACTGAAGATGGAGCTATAAACTGTGGTTCTAGCCTAGGAAGGAAGCTACACAGTCAAAATCCTCAGTGCATGAAATGGTGACGTGCTAGGCAATAGTATCATACTAACCATCACCATAGAAATATTTGTGTGTCCTATGTTGTATCTGTTCATGATCACTAAGGCAACCACAACCTTTTTGCTTCTGAATCTTTCAAACTGAAATGATAAGTGCACATTATTTTTTGTTTTAAAAAAGTCTTTGCCTTCATTCCACGTCAGAACACAATATGTAGTTTCATAACTGAAAGGAATGCTAACCTCAGCCCAGATAGCATAGGTTTCCTTTAAAAAAAATAAACCAACTTAAAAATAATTCTGGGATGCTGTTCTTTCAATCAGAAGGTTCTGTGAACAAAGGAAACAAAGATGATTGCCTGCAATTAGCTCTCCCTTCTATCTGCAAGTCTGTGCTTCATAAATGCCTCCACCCCAAGAAAGTACAGGGTGGGTAGAGGACATCCAAAGTTGGGCCTCAGGAAATAGTGTGCTCCTGGGAGCTGGACAGCACAATGCTCACTCCTGCTAGAAATAGTTCAAGGAGAAGCCTGAATGCAACAGCAGCTCTAGGGCAGGCTGCTGATAACCCTGGCAGCAGTGCCACTTGGGTACTCAGTACAGACTCTGTGCCTATGGGTCAGACTCACCATATCTTTGCTGGTCAAAGCTTTGGGATCATTTATGTTATTTTTCAGTAAGTTGCATGCAGACAACATCTTTTCACTCAATTCATACCTAAAAGAGGGAGAAATAAAGATAGCTCAGGAATGATCAGAAAGGGAAAGTCATTTTTATCTTAAACCTACTAACCCTTTCACAGACAAGTGGCCCTGAGCCATCCTGAGCAGGTTGTGATGGTTGGAGGTACCTCTAGGCATCTAAGATTGATGTTATATAAGCCAACATCTCTAGCCAGAGTTCAAGGTCTCCTTGTGAAAGCAGCTTCTAGATAGACCAGTTGGGACTTCATGACATTATGGAGTAACATTTGGAGATATTTTTAATCCTTAAAGGCTTGAAGAAGCCTAAATTACCACATATCTGGTAACTCAGAATTGTTTGTTCAACCCATACAAAAATTTACACATCAGATGACATATGGTAAACAGATTATATCTCAACAGAGTTGTTTTTAAAAAAAAAAACAGATGGCAAGACATTTCAAGCCATTTGAAACCACTTGGAAAAATAAACTAGAAGCACTTACCTTGTATTAATGCAGTTAACTATCATTTTCAAATTAAAGTTTTCTAAAATGTTCATATTTCACAGAAGGAAAAACCATATTGAGGTACCTATCTTCTCTATTCTGTCCTGTTTTATGAGCATCAAATCCTTAGTTACTAATTGTCTTTAAAACTGAATTTTTATGTACATTTTTGGGCCAACCAGAGTTTCTGATCTTTTATTTCAGCTGCTATTTATGATATCACTAAATCCATTGTTATGTTCCCGATCACTCAAAGAGCAGTGAAACAGATACTTATGATCTTTACAGTAAATGGGATATTTGGTTGAGGCAAAGTACATGATCCTCATCACCCAATGGTAATAACAGTAATGATACTTGCATCAAGATAAATGACTAAAGACAAAATTTAAAAGTGTGCTAGTCAGCAAAAATTTCAAATCTGTCTTTAAGTGTGAGGTATTCAAATAATGGAACCTGTAGTGGCTAGTGGTTCCATGTGTAAAATTAGATAGCAAAGAGTTCTGAATTCAAAGGAGATGAGCTACCAAGCCATTCTCTTTGCTATCCTAAGGGATCTAGGAGTTACCATATGTAGTACTTGTTTTATTAGAAGTATGTACATCTGTTCAAGATGCTAAGAAATAGATCAAACAAATATATATAATCTCAAAAATCTGAATCAGCTAATTCTATTGACGAAATACACTAACATGGGAGAGGGGAGGGGAGGGGAATGTACCACACCTCTCTCTGATTTCCACCTTCTCAGGTTCACATTCTTGAACCTGCATTTCATCGTCCACCCTGGTAGACTTGAAACCTTCAATATTAACAGCATGGTGCCCTTCTGCCATTCCCCGAGTGTCGTCTTCCTCCTCTTCCTCCTCCTCTTCTTCAGGAGGATACTCAATGACATCACACTCATCATCTGACTCGGAAGAAGAGCTTTCATCTGAGCTGGAATCATCACTTGAAGTTGTTTCATACCTAGGTGGCAATTGGGATTTCAGGAGATGCAAGGTGTGCCCATAAAGACCCAGTGACAGAAATATCTATGAGGGCAAACCTGCTGATTGGCTGCAGAAATTTCATCAGTGGCCTGGTGGGTTTTGAATGGGTTCTGATTTAAAAGGGCCAACTTGGGCCCATACACTCCTTGTTAAAACAACAACATGGGACTTCTAGCCTAGAACAAATCGAGATCTGCAGTTGCTCATTATTTATCTTCTCCATTCATCCTATTTTGCCCCACTCATTCTCCCAGTGTTAAAAGATCACATAAGTAACCAATAGTCTTCTGATACATGTCCTCCAAAATCTCCTGGGACATATTGTGCCAAATATAACTTAGAAGATTTGGAAAACAGGTACCATCATGTCAACCCTGGTGACTCACTTTCTTATAAGTATTAACTCTGCACCATTGCTTTCTTGTTGGTCTATCAGCCAATTGTTTAGGTTCAATTATAAGAAGATGAAGAATCTTAACTATTTACCTGAGCCAACTAGAAGAGACAGAACAAATAACTAATAAACATTCTATTCAGAAAGCAAAGAACTGATGGCATGACTAGGTTGCTGTTCAGGTGAAAGGCCCCATGGTTTTGTTCATGAACATGGGTTGCTAAGCAACCCATGCTGAAGGAGTGAATGACAGTCACTGGCCCAGGGAGTGATGCGCTCCACCTCTTTCTGCTCCTTTCTGAGTTCTAGCACTGGTAAGTACCAGCTGTCCAACACAGTGCAACCACCTTGGTGCCTGCTGCTTTTGGTTGAAGACCCTTTTTTTTTTTTTTTTTCCAGATAAAAGATGAGATGTCAATTGCTCAGCTTCATCAGGTGTCCTTAAGAGAGTGATACATCCTTAAAGAAAGCAAGAGGAGGGGAGAAGAGAAGCCCAAATGCACCTTTCTGAGAAGGGAATCTTCCATCACCAAGATGTGGCAGCATCCCAGACTAGGTACCTTGAAATGGGATTCAAACAGGAGGCAAAGAAGACAGATACAGATGATGCTGAGCTATAGGACCACCATCTTTCCTTACCCTCCGTTAATGCCGACAAACTGAAGATTCTTTTTTGCACCATTGGAATCTTTGTTCCCATCTTTCTTCTTCATGATGGACTTCAGCGTATTTTCGTTATTTGTACATACTATAAAAAAGTGAATTGAGGTGATCAAAATTAATATAACTTGAATTCACACCAATTCCATTGGAAAAGTATGTGCATGCAAAGACAATAACTCAAAGTTCCATTAAAAACGTCCTTTAAACAGGGGGTGGGGACTATTAGTACTTTGAGACATCACAAAACAGTGACAACTGGCATTTTTATCAGGCTCATTTTTGCTTTGATAATCTTAAAGACTAGGCCTTCTTTCCAACCATCTGCATGATCTTTTCTTCCAGGTCAACTTGTAAGGTACAGTGTCATTCAGTTGGAATGTCCCTAGGGACCTGATGTCAAGGCCCCTGAGAAGACTCACCATATAGGCCTGCGGCTATCTGGTCATCTGTCAGGTTCACCAGGGCTGGTACACTTTCCTGGGAAGGGAAGCCATCCTGGCTGTTCTTAGGCTTTCCTTCTGTGGTCCCCAGTTCTTGGACAGGCCAGGATAACTGTGTGCTTAATAGCCCTCCTGACTGAAGGCCTCCACACTTACAGGTATAATCCAAATTATTTCCTGTCAGGAAAGAGAAGGATATAGAGTGTGTAATGCTGGGAGTGGATGAAAGGGACTTAAATTTTTTTTGTTGTTTAAAAAGGTTCTTGCAACTTGGTCTTTTTAAAAGTGTTTGTCCCTGCTGTGTTTTACTTTCGAGTAAATGGGAATACCACCTAAACCACTTAAACTCAAATCTCCAAGTCCTCCTTTGACTCAATCTTTCCTTTATTATCACATCTAGATATGCTGAGCTATGTTACTAGAGATCCACAGCATCTCCTCTTTTCTCTCTGCTCTGGCTGTTGCAATCCTTGCTTCTAGAGCAGCATCCTGCTGGCCCCTCTTGCACGGCTATTCCCGGGTCACACTGATGCAGAGCAATACCCAACCCAGCTGTGATGCCGTCATTAGTCCAGCTAAAACAAAACCTGACGCAACCTAAGAAGTAATCCCTTTGAAAAAAAAGTGTAGTCCACACCACCAGGACATGCGTATCAATAATTTTTTTTTTTTGGGGGGGGTACTGGGGATTGAAACCAGTGACACTTTTACCATTGAGCCACATCCCTGGTTCTTTTTATTTTGCAGTGGGTTCTAAGTTGCTTAGGGCCTTTGCTAAATGGCTAGTCTCAAACTTGCCATTCTCCTGCCACAGCCTCCTGAGTCACTGAAGATCCTAGCCAGAAACTCTAAACTACCTATAATCTGGTATCTTAATTCCCACTGCTCTGTCTAGAGGGAGGGCATTTCTTACCTCCTCATGGCTACCATAGCTTACTCTCTTCCACCTGGAAAGCCCTTCTTCCCACCTCCACTTGGCCAGCCCCTCCCATCATGCCCTCTTCAGGGCCTTCTCTGATCTCCCTCATTGAAAACAGCTCTCCTTTCTCTGAGCTATCTCAGTTCATCTTCCAATCCTTTTCTGGGACCTTCATACCAACTACAAGATGCTTCTTGTGACCGTCTTAGATTTCCTTCTGGACTTAAATGTTTTGAGGGCATGAACTAGTACTGACCAACTTTCCATTGATTGGTGTGGATTTTAAGTCTTTAAATCCATAGGTTCTTCTATTTAAACATGGCTTTTAAATTAGGGGCTGGGGACATAGTTCAGTGATAGAACATTTATCTGTATGTGTAAGGCTCTGGGTTTGATCCCCAGCATTGCATCAAGGATAACACATACACACACCCCTGCGCACGTGTGTGTGCATACTCACATACAAATATATACACTATAAGTGTACTATGTTTTGTTGTGGTAGTATAGTTTATATAAAACCAAATTTAAGCATACAGTTTGATGAGTTTTGTAAATGTACATGCCTATGTAACCACATAAGATATAAAATATGCCTAATAACCTAGTAAACCCCTCTCTCATCAACTTTTTGCAGATAATTTATCCACCCTGAGGTGCCAAATGCCCTAATTTCTCTCACCATAACTTGGTTTCGTAAGTTGGGACCTCTTAAAGCTTCTGTAATAATGGCCAAGTCCCTCAGGCGAGAGTATGAAGCTCCTTCATCTGCCAGTGGAAGCTGCACTGCTCAACCACTCCTACCCCGCATGTGCCCAGGGTGGTCTTGTGACTTCATTGCCCAGGACTCTTTCCTAAGCAGACTGTTCACCAGGCCTGGATTTTAGTACCCTTCACCAGTTAAGTTCTACCCATGTTCTTTTTAAGGCTTATCCCAAATTCTATTTCCTCTATAGTCATTTTTCTTTCTTTCTTTTCTTTTTTTTTAATAAATGGAACAAATCAGTATTTAGTGACAAAGAAGTAATATACTATATGAAGGGCTCATAACAAATTAATAAGGTTGATATTAACACTATAGTCATTTTTCTAGGATATGATTCCAGAGACAGCTTTTTTTCCAACATTGCCCTGTAGCACCTACTGTGCAGACTAAACTATGCTCTGCCCTATTTCTTGGCTTCACGAGTATGCCCTCCAAGAGGCGGTAAGCTTGAGCCCCTTCGTGCCGGATTTTAATCTGCCCTCTCCAGTGCCTGGGACAGCATTTAACAATAGGAGGGCTTTCACAAGTGCCCATGCATTCAACTAGAAGAGAGTCTGTTTGAGACTAACAGGTTAAGGCCAGAACATCATTAAACATTAAGCTAGTTCTCATTTGTCAAGGGAATCTGCTACCCTGCATTGCCAGAAAATCTTTTCACTCTGGCTGGACTTGAATGGCTCTTACCCAATTCTCTGAGCTCATCTGCATGACTTGGGTGGACATTTACGTAGCATGGCAATTCACTGCCATGTTCAAGCAAAGTGAAGGACAGGTGCAGTCAAGAGAGCCAGGGATGAAGAGGTTAACTACAAAATCCAGCAGTCCTAATCTGGCTGCCTCTTAGAGTCTCCCGAACTAGGGGTGGGGCTTTTTAAATTTTTAAGTTGTAGATGGACACAATACCTTTGCTTTATTAATTTATTTTTATGTGCTGAGGATCGAACCCAGTGCCAGGCCAGTGCTCCACTATCAAGCTACAGCCCAGCCTGGGGTAGGTCTATACAATGCACTATCTGCAGGTGGCCAGGCTTCAGTACTTTTAACCTCTCCCTAGGTGATTCTGTCATGCAGTCAGGATTAAGTACTACTGAATTAAATTAACCAAAATAGAACATGCCCTGAAAACAAGAGTGTAGACTCCTCTCTGGTCTCAACTCATCAACTTGGACCCACGTGAATTCTCAGGAATTGATGGAGGTTTTATTAACAATTGTGGATCACTGGTGCTAGAAAACCCTGGTGAACATGGAATACTACCGAAACAAGAGCAATGAAACAAAAGAACTAATTATAAACACTCTCAGAATTCTGACCCTCTGACCTACATGCTCAAGATTCCCACCAGTTAACAGCTATTTCCAAAGACACAACTGGGGCGTTAGAGAAGAGGGGAATGGAAAACCCATAATGAAAAATTTACTTCACAATGCCTTGAACTTTAAGAATGTTGGAAGGAAGGAAGGAAGGAAGGAAGGAAGCAAACAAAACCCTGACCCAGTGAAAACTAGAGCTGGGAGAATTTTACAGACATCCTTTTCTCCAGTCTGCTGTGATATTTATCCATCTAGAATGGATATTAGTTGATGAAATATACCAAACTTGTTAGGAAATTAACTTTAGAAATGTATTAAAATGGATGTTAAGTATCTCTGTTGACAGATGGTAACTTTTGTGACATGTGAATCCATATTTTTATTTATAATGTCAAGTGCTTTCTGAAAACAGCTCTGAATCATGTGACCATCTAATTAACCATGTTGCGTAGCCAACTTCTCAGCTAGGCCTTCCAACTGGATATCTAGCTTATTTGTCAAGAAGGACTGAAATTCCAGATTCATTATGGAAGTGAGTAAAGTATTTAGTAAATTATTATTTCCCCAAATATAAGAATTCAAAGGAATCTGAGATAGTTCTAGTTTTCCATAAAAAGGGTTCACCATGAATTCACACTTTTCAGCCCAAACATTTGAGGGACAAACAGCAGAGATTCTTCATGAAGGACCACCGTCTATCTTGATGTATATTATTTTTTTCAGGGAAATGTAGAAGACGTTTGGCAGAAGACAAAGGTCAGTCCCTTTCTGTTTCTATGCTCTCCTCTAAGGACTCTGCCTGAAGGTCACAAACAGCCAACTCAAACTGGAGATAGAAAACTTAAGTAATCAGAGCTGCTGTTTAATCGTTTCTAGATCCATTTTGATATTTTCATGGGAACATATCAAACAGCTGCCATCAAAAAGTGGCTACTCATTTAGAAATTAAAATGCTAGAGTGGATTAAGAATTAAATTCTCCCTCACCACAACCCCACCCACATGTAATTAAACGCCATTCTAAGACTGGACCCAAAAAACCTGACAGGCTACATTAACTAAAGCTGAGTTTAAATGTGCTCTGTGTTCCTCCCAGTAGTGCTAAGGCCTCCTCTTCCTCAGACCTCTGAGACCTTGATGGCAGCTGAACTCTGAGCACTTTTTATTTGCATAGTACTTGGTACCTGATAGATGTTGCCACAGGTGATCATTCACATTTTGGGGGCTGTCCTTGTCTTCCCAACTGGATGGCAGGTTTTTCAAGGTACATCTTTATATCTCTTTGTTGCAGTATCACATTTTGCATATACTTGACATTCAATTGATACTGATAGGGACAATGCAGACTTAAAAATCTTTACTGAAATATGCTACTCAGAAAACAAACAGCTATAGCCATCTTCCAATATCAGTTACATTTGTCATTTTGACTGGGCACTCATGAACTCCAACTCATTTCTGTACTTGACAATTACTAACGTCCATGCTTTAGCCCAATATGAACTGAACACGTTGGATTCATTCAGCGTGAAATTGTCAAACCTGCATCTTTCTCCAGAGCACATTTGCATTTTACTAATATCCATTTTAAATGATTAATTTAAGAGTTTCCAAACAAGTGTCAACTCAAGGCTCACCGAGGTGATGAGCAGATTAAATCTTTGGAAGATCTTTTCCTCAGGACTAGAGTGTTTTTTACCCCCCAAGGTCTCTAACAGATGACTTCGATCTGCAATTTCAATCTTGCAGAAGGTCAACTATCCCTTTTGAGTATCTAAAGAAAATTATGCATTGTCTTCATGAGAAGCCCAAATGCAAAACTATGTGTGGACTGGGGATGTGACTCACTGGTGGAGCCTAGCACGCATGAGGCTCTGGGTTCAATCCCCAGTACCACAGAAACAAACAGTTAACTGTTCATGAAGCTGTGGGCTCTGTTCTAAGGTCATTTCCCTGAAACTGGATCTGGGGTGCCTACTGGGTGGTAGG